AGCACTGGATCAACTATTAGAATATCGATATAATTATCAATTTTCAAAACAATCCTCTTGTTTATACATATAACAAATTCACATTACATCGATAAATTTCATCCGATGCTCGTTTTTTATTATAGAACCATTAAGATCATGATGCTACAAATAGCAATTGACCAAAGCTCTCTAAATGATACTTTTATATTATTTTATTTGAATATAAAATAATATTAACTTTATTTACATTTTTTATGTAGTGTAATTTTTGTTTTTTTAATATTTTGAGTGTTTTGCCAATTTGATCGATCGATCGACAAATAATTTTATTATTTCGAGATAAAAAAAAGTCACTGACCATTTATATATTTATGATTTTTTTAAATTTAAAACTATCATCCGTTAGTTACAGTTATATTCTCATTTTATTTTTGTATGATTGAATTATGCAGAGTCAGAATTTTGCTATAAGCAGCCAGCATCCTTTTAATCACTATGTTCATACAGTGGTTTAGGACAATAAAAATAGGTATGCAGAATCCATGGTTTTGTTTATAGTATCATGATAAAAAAGAAAATTTTAATCTGACAAAATGGCACCACATAAATACCGCGCGTTTGAAAGTAACTTATCTGTTCGATGTCAAAGTAACAAATAAAAGACAGGATGGGGGGAAAAATATATTTTCAGGCTATTTCAATATGATCCACAAAGGACTACGTCCGTTAGTATTCTGTGGTCCGTCAGGCTCTGGAAAAAGTACTCTGATAAAGCGATTGTTCGATGAATTTCCTGATACATTCAAATTTTCGGTGTCTCATACAACTAGAATCCCACGGCCTGGTGAAGAGGATGGGGTTCACTATCATTTCACAAACAAAGAAAGAATGCAAGAACAAATAGAAAATGGAGAGTTTATTGAAACTGCTATATATAGTGGGAATCTATATGGAACGAGGTAAATATAAACGAGTATTAAATAATTGTGTAGAAAACGATATACAATTTAAATGCCATTGCAGCAAACAAGCGGTTGAAGATGTACAAAGTTTAGGAAAGATATGCGTATTAGATATTGACATACAAGGTGTAAAACAAATAAAACGCATTGATCTGAATCCCCTTTACATATTTGTAAAACCACCATCTACTATGGAATTGGAGCGACGATTAAAGGCTAGAAACACAGAAACTGAAGAATCTTTGAAACGTAGATTATTAATTGCTAAATCTGAATTAGAATATGGTATGCTTTACACAATACGTTCAATTAATATTATAAGAAAATTATTTAAAATTCATACTCATGTCTAAATGTCTATTTCACATTGTATAGGTGAAACACCTGGTAACTTTGACGTTGTCATACAAAATGATAAGTTGGAAGAAGCATATCAGATTTTACGTAATTTTGTGGTGTCCAATTATAATATACATTGCCATACAGGTGAATCAAATGCTTCCTGTTTCTTTTGATATTAATCTTTCTATCGTAATAGCATAAATATCTTTATGGCAAAAATATTGGGATTGGTAGTGCAATAACATAATAATCAAATTATAAGAATTAATATTTTATAGCAATTAACATTTTATTAGCATTATTTTATAGAGGTAACATATATCTTATCTCTGAATCAGAAAACATTTTTTAGATCAGACAACAAGCTAGTTGAGAATTGAAATCTAATGGATCCTTGGACGTGACTCATACCTGGATACGAATAACGAATTGTTTCTGATGATATTTTCGCAAATTACTATTTCGGACGTATCTGATAAACATGTAATTAAAAAGTGTGTACACACACACACACGCGCGCGCGCGCGCGCACACACGCACACGCACATACAATTTACACAAATTTGAAATTGAAGCTAATCCATGTAATCTACATCTTTTTATTACATATTTAAGGAAGACTTTCAAAATGCGTTTGGTCCAAAATTTTATTTTTTTAGTTAGAGATAGCGTATAGTGTTCCATGTTGAATGTTATATTATAAGCTGCTCTGAGATGTTCAGGAATCATTTTTTTATCGTTTTTGTTTAATTTATACACTGAAAAAACATAGACATTTCGAAGTACATTATGTTTTTTAACTAGAAACAAACAAAATGCGTTTGTTTAACATTTTTAGCAATTGTTAAGCAATTTTGTTTAATATTCTACATTTTACTGATTGACATATTGCTATTTTCTGTAAAGTGCGTAGTTTTCTTGTGAACATAGTTTCTTTCTCGTTTTCTGAAAATTACAAATTTTAGATAAACGCATTTTGAAAGTCTGTCCCTTATTTGTATGTATCATATTTTTTTAATTGCAGAGATTGCCATTCTTATAATATATTCCACACTTTTGCATTAAGCCCGATCTGATTTTAAAACAAGCAAGTGGTAGAAATATCTGGTGGATGAAAGATAGAAGGAATATCTTTATTCGCCTAATTAGTACATAAACGTATAGTAGCTGATTTTTTTTATCAAATAAGAGAAATCTATTTTTTAATAGGGATATGTGAAGAACTTTTTTCGCACTAAGATAAGGAATTTAGCTTAATGTTCAAGAAGTAATTCACAGAAATAAAACGTAAAGTTGTAGATGTAGATAACTGAGACTATTCACCAAAAAAGGTTGTGTTCCAGTAGAGTAGACTATGTGTAAAGTACTTGCGGTTTCATCTTTGTATTTATCTTCATGATCGATATAGAAGCGTCGGAATGTAATTACTTCTGATTTACATTACGATATATTGGATTTCATATAAACATTCTAACTAGATAGAATTAAGATTATAAAAAGAACATTTCTGTAAACATTCCTATAATATTTTTATGCTCGATAAATAATAAAATTGTGCAGAAAACATCTAAAATTTGATACGTCCACGCTTGTTTCCATTGTGCATACAATTCGAAGCCTGTAATTCTTTCTTAGCTGGATGAAAAATTGATAAGATTATATATAAAATATATATTTACCGAGTAATCTATATGATTAATGTAGAAAAATGATCGAGTAGGCTAAGTTGCACTAATAATCTTGTTAAACTGAATACCCCTTTATATATAGTAAATAGCATATTAGACAGAGAGGAAATCTCTTTACTTTTAAAATTAACTGATGTAATTAATAACTCTTAAAAATAAGTCGCAGAAAATATTTTATTGTAAGTACGTTATAAAGAATAGTGTAATTATTGCATGTATATTTAATGATATATTCAATAAATAGTATTGAGATAGTACAGTCAGTATTATTTAATGATATGAGATATAGTCGGAAAACAGTATAAATCGAATAATTAAAACTACATACATTTTATTTCTATGAAATAGTCGGATAAGCAGTGGATTGTGAGCGATGACGATGAGGGAATTCACCATGATGATGACGCGTTTTGTGTCGTGGTTGTTCGCTTATTTCGATAGATGTTACTTTGACATTTTCTCCTATTCTATCGCGGGTATCATTGGTGATTTCTTCACGAATGAGATCGTCACCGTAAGTTCGTGGTGTAGACTGGTCGATCGGCTTCTCATTTTGTTTGTCCAGTCGCGGAGGCATTGGTTTCTTGAAAAACTTGTATCTAACCATTTGAGGCCGCGGTTGAAAAATGTTCTCTGGAGGCAACGAGTCGGAGATATCGACCGGCGATGGTATATCAACAGCTTGCGTTCCGCTGACACTCATTTCGCTAGTTCTTCCACTCGTATCGACTTCTTCGAAATACATAGGTCGTTCTTTTGCATTACGCACATCCAATTTTTGAGGTAACGACGCTTCAAAACTCGACCGTTTCGGCGAATCCATTTCGACGAATTTACGATTTACTGGAAACATATAACTACCGTCTTCTCCATTTTTATTAATTTCTCTAGAATAGATTCCTAGCTGAGGTCGATGGACGGTACGATCGAGATATTCTTCAAGAGTATTCCAATTTTCTAGATCACGGGAAATTGCTCTTCTAACGAGCTTAGAAATTTCTTCGATATTCGAAGCTTGCAAATTTTTATCATCATCGAGAGTCGTTGAACGTTCATTGGAGAAAGATGCAAGGTCACTTGTAGTGTCATAATTGCGTTGAGATTCTGTCATTTTCCATTGTTTTCTCGGTAAAATTTCGTTATCCACAATGATGAATGATTCATTAATCGTAACGGGGTGATTTGTAGTTTCCGAATGCGCGATGCGCTCGAAGGGCACCTGAAAACTCGTTTCCAACACCGTATTTTCAAAGCGTTTTTCTTCATGAGCGTCGCGAGTGTCCGGATAGTATGCCTCGTAGAACACCGGTCCCTTGTCCAAGTTATAACTACCTACGTATCTAAAGAACAAGCAATAGTAAAATTTATGTTTAGATTACCACCCAAGTATCCACAAAAGTTTAAATATTGAAAAATGTTTTGTACTTCATATGTTAGGCTGCATTCCGATCATTGCCAATAATGAAAATTTGTAGTTATACACATATATAAGTAACATAAATTTTCAGTATTGGCAGTGAACATCGAAATGCATTCTTAATATATCATATTAATGTTTAAAAACAATATTAAATGAAAATTTCTAATAAAATCTGTGTTTGCGTGTAAATTACCTACAATTCATATTTCTATACATATAATATAATATATGTATACATATATTATATAGAAATATTAATATAAAGAAAAGCTTGCTAGAGAGACAAGTTTAGAGTTTTAAGATTTAATGTTGATTATTAACTCTAGAATACATCTTCCGAAAAATATTGAAACATCATGGATGTACATTGGGTCTAAAAGATAGCTTCGGTTTAGAATAAATTTTTAGATTATTTTTTTTATTTTAAAGTTCTGATATTTAGCAATGTACTTGCATATGTTATAATATCAAAAAATTTGATATTGTTATAAAATAAAAATTTCCTTTCTTCATATGCTTCTTCAAAGCAAGCTAAATTTAGATTTGGCCTGGGAGATCCAGTAAGTGTGTGCGCGTGTGTGTTTTAGGATTAAATAATATAATTTTAAAATCTAACTTTGTACTTTCGCACAGTGCTGGAATTTATTTGTAGCTTTTAGCCGATTTGCGGTTTAGTTCCCGTCCGGCATTTAAATTGCGCGCCGGTTAGTAAAGTAAAGGACGGAAATCAAACTGAAAGTTGTCTGAAAAAGTTATTAAGCAAATTTCAGCACTGCTTTAGCATTACAAAAAAGTTACGAAAAAAGTAACCAATCGTTACTTTCTAAATAATGCATTACTTTTTAAAATTGATAACGAGTAATGATAACGAGTTACTATTTATAAAAAGTTATTTTTATAAAGTAACATTCCTAGTCTTGCTGATACATTAAAGATAATAATAATAATTACCTAGATGTTTTCGGATTCCACACAACAGCAGCGGTTGTAGTGATAGAAGATACATCTATATGAAAGAGTATTACAT